CTCAGAGCACAAGCACACTGTTCTAACCACTAGGCCACCACTCCCCAGTGAAATTCCAACTGGCGGTGTGAACTACTTCAGCAAAAGAGATGCCAAAGTAGAATTTTATTGCATTATTAGGATACTGAATTGATAGCTCAAAAAGAAGTAAAAATAATAAGCAACAAACTGAAAGCACACCAGTCTGGTAGTGGAAAAATTCCATCCATCCATTATCTAACGCGCTTATCCCGAGTGGGGTCATGAGGGGTGCCTATCTCCAGCAGTCAATGGGCGAGAGGCGGGGTACACACCGGACAGGTCGCCAGTCCATCGCAGGGCAACACAACCATTCATGCACACACTCACACCTAAGGACAATTTAGAGAAGCCAATTAACGTAACAGTCATGTTTCTGGACTGTGTGAGGCAGCTGGAGTACCCAGAGAGATCCCACGCATGCTCAGGGAGAACATGCAAACTCCATGCAGAAAGACCCCGGGTTGGGAATCGAACCCAGAACCTTCTTGCTGCAAGGCAGCAGTGCTACCCGCTGTGGCACTGAGCAGCCCTAGTGGAAAAAATAATGCTTGAAATCCAAACTGATACAGAATTTGTATTGTGAAACAATGAAAACAAAAGAAATATTAATCGATTCGTAGTTTAACACTCCTCTCTGCAGTTTCTCTGCTGTTACCCACTCATTACTCCATCCAGACATTGTCTTGCCCACGACCAGAATCAAATAAATTAGAAAAGAATCCCAAAAGAGTAAATCATTTCATTTGGGAAAAAAAAGTTAAAACTATGTAGTTTATTTAACATAAGATCTTTTCAAAACGTCTGTTATTAATAATAATAAATAAATAAATAAGGAGTCAATTATGATAATCTACTCCAAACTAAAATAACTAATTATAATAACTCTGCTTGGGGTAAAAGTTAAAATGATTAAATGTGGTTTATTTAACATAAGTTTAAGTCCTCAAAAGGTATGCTAGTTAATGACGGGATTTGTGATCATCAAAACGATTTATGTTGTCTTACAGAAACTTGGTTGCAGCAAGAGAATCATGTGCATAAATGAGGTAAATGCCTGTAGTTATTTATATTTTCACAAAACGAGAAAGTCTGGGAGAGGGGAGGAGTAGCACCAAACTTTCAGTCTTACTGATTACTCCAAAGCAAGTTAATAATTACAACTCTTTAGAACATTTAACCCTTAGCTTCCCTCATCCAAATTGCAAAGCAATAAAACCTTTTTGAAAACTTGAATCGTCCACCAGGTTCTTACTCTGGATTTTTAGATCAGTTTTCAAATAGCTCCTATGTGATTTTGTGTTAAATACTGGCAATATCCTCATAGTGGGGGACTTCAACATCCATGCTGACATTGAAGGTGATCGATTAAATGCAGCCTTCAATGCTATGTTAGACTTGTTAACTTTTATTAACTATTTTTTTTAAATGTTGCTCGTCTGACACACTCTAGTTCTCATACTTTGGACCTAGTCCTACAATATGACATTGAATGTGAAGAAGTAACAATATTTCCTCACAACGCTGCCCTCTCGGACCACTTTTTAATAAACTCCAGGATAACTAACAGGGTTCTCCTCCCCTAAAAGAAGATTTCACTTTAGCAGATCATTATCAGATAATCCAGTTATACATTTTACAAAAATCTGTTCCAATCTCTCTCTCCTCTGTATCACTAAACAATACAGGATAGGGCAACCATTTCTTTCCCTTCACAAATTGATGATTTTTTTTTTGGGGTTACTACTTCCCTGGATGCTGCCTTGGACAATGTCCTTTTCCCTTGAAAAGGAAAAACTTTAAAAATAGAAAGCTGGCTTCCTGCTTTAATGAAAAACTGTGCACGTTAAAGCAAAATACTAGGAAACGGGAGAGAAAATCGTGCTCTACATGCCTTCAGGTATCCTACCTAGTCTGGAAAAACAGTTTACTGATGTATAAAAGGATGCTTCATAAAGTTAGAACAGCATATTATTCATTGATAGAGGAGAATACAATAATCCAAGATATCTTTTTAATAAGGTTGCCAAACTCTCTCAGAGCCATAGCTCTGTTGAACCATCCATCCCACCTGCTCTCTAGAATCTTAATCAGGTTTAGACTGCTTTGATCCAGTTGAACTTTCAGAGTTAGGGAAACTATTACCCTCATTTGTATGTTAGATCGAGTTCCAACTAAGTTATTTAAGTATTCCTTCTGATTTCCAAAGCCATTTTAGATTTTACAGGGATATGTATCTCAGGCCTTTAATGTAGCGGTAATTAAAACTTTACTTAGGAAAACGTCTCATAACAACAAAAATAACATTTTGGTGTTATTTTAGATTAAGATCTGATTTTAGAATGTTCTCCTTTCATCTGTGGAATATAAATTAGAAATATCCTGTCCATAGGTGATGCTTAGAAAGTTAAAATCCTTCAGCTTATCCAAAATTCTGCAGCCAGAGTTTGTATGAAAATTACAGCTGTGCCTGAAAGTTTAATACAATACGCTCCGAATAAATACGATTTTAAATTCACAGTAGCAATTAAAATAACACAAAACTGAAAAAAGTAATAACTAAAAATATTATTAAAACAAAAAAAACTTAAGATCATTTATTGAAACTAAATAGCCCTCCATCCATTTTCTCCCACTAAGTCCTTGTCAGGGTTGCGTTGGGACCGGTGTCCATCTCTGGCAGTGTACGGGCACAAGGCGGGTCAACCTTCGACAGGTTGCCAGTCTGTCGCAGAGCAACACAGAGACACGCAAAGCCACACAACCATGCACACACACACTCACATATAAGGACAATTGTTTTAGAGAAGTCAATTAACTTAGAAGTCATGTTTTTGGACTGTAGGAGGAAGCCGAAATACCGGGAGAGAACCCAAGCATGCACGGGGAGAACATGCAAACTCCATACAGTAAGACCCCGGGCTGGGAATCTAACCCAGAACCTTCTTGCTGCAAGGCAACAGTGCTACCCACTGTGCCACTGAGCAGCCCAGATAAATTTTTCCTTCTGTTATTATTTATTTATATAAATAAAAACACCTGTTATAATCACAAACCCAAACGGCTGAAACTCAATAACAAACCTCCCCTGCTTCATGACCAGAACAGTAGCAAGATCTTATCTGAAAGTTCTTTTGTGCTGAATAGCTTTTGGTTTCCTTTCTACTATAAATAGCCTAGAATTGCAGAGAAAAAAAATCTGATGAGTTGCTCTTCAGTTATAAAATGGCCCCAATAGAATACAAATAACGTAACCAGTCACTTGCTACATACCAAAGGCATTTTTTTCTGATAAGGATACTGAAACGAAAACTTGTCTTACAATCACAAAAGTAAAAATAGAGTTTGGTGAGTGATATTTACCAGTTCAGTTTTACAGTTGTTCAGGTATTTCACCTGAGCAACTCTCTCGAGTCACACATATCTGGTGGCTGTAAAAGTCGAATAGAGCTTTTTAAAGCATATTGTTTAAATTATACAGCCAGGTCATTGTAACTTTAGTAACCCGTCTCGTGTTCAGCATCTGCACTCGGTCCAAGCTTTGTTTCCTGTGGTAGGGGTTCTAGATGCTTTAAGGATTTGCCATCATTGACTTCAAGTTCCTCTGGATGCTGCTGTTCAGGGGGCGCTTTGCTCAACTCTGGTAAGAGTTTAAACACTTTATGAAATTTCAGGCCAATTCAAAGCTGATTTCCAAGCTAAACAAAGGAAGTCTGATGCTTATTTCATATACATTTAGTTTACTTCAGCCAGTAAAGAACTGGATCCTCTGCACTTGCCAAGTAAGAGAACAAATGTATATACAGTAAATCGGATGTTTGATAAACTGATAAACTATCTGGATCCAGACTGAAAGGAGATGCTGACATTAAAAGATAATACTTCACAGTCTGGAGACCAAATCCTTTAACCTCCAAAACATAAAAATTCAAATCCAGGCAGGAAATGGTCATCTTTACCCCCCCCCCGAATCAATTTTCTTGATTTTATTTTTTTCTGACAAAAAACACTCTGAAGCTGTTGCCTTGGTAGTACAGATGAAACAGGAATAATAATTATTTCCCCATGGCTGCGTGTAAATTATTAAAACCTAGAGGGCATGAGTGAGCCGACGGACATGCAGAGAAGAAATGAGACAGATTGTGTTTTCATGTGCATTTCTTTTCTTACTAGGTCTCTTCATGAGTGTCAGTGCCTGCAACATCAAGGTGCAAGAGTTAAGTCATCAAGGAACTGTTCACAGACAAATAGGCATCTTACATGGTGTTTTATAGAAAGGGGGGCATTGTTTAACATAATGCTCATTCTCTCATCAAAAAAAAAAAAAAATCCAGTTATAAAAAATTCATTTTAGGTGAAAACGCTGCATCCAAAAATTAAATCACCAGACAGGATACAAAGTTTGTGCTAAAATGATTCAGTGAAAGACAGATATGTTGAAAAGTTACAAACTCAAAGTTCAGAAAAAGTTCTGAATAAATCATTTATTTTGTCGTAATTTCAAGCAAACACTAGAAATGTTACAACTTAAAGAAAACAGAATCCAGCCACTCTGACACAATAAATTAGAAACAAAAAACTAAACAAAAACTCATCCAAGTTGTTCACAATAAAGTGACAAACAGCATCCAAATTATAAAGATATAAAAAATGTACATGTATATACACAGACACGTAGCCTCCCGTTAGCCTGCTTGGTCAGGTTCCACCGTATTTATGGACACCAGATGGACTGCAGACATAACAAAAACAAAAAAAAGCATCCCAACCACAGCATAACTGACACAGGAATAAAGATGCCTTTATTCCCTCAGAGCTCAGCGGCTTTTTCTGAAGGAGCTCATCAGTACGAACACATTTCACCATTTGTGGTCGATTCAAAGATGGAGTAATTTACCGAATCTCAAAAAAGAAAATAAAAAAGTAAACTTTATTGGCTTAGAGACTGAACACTAATAAACAAGGCTGACTTTTGTCTGTTCAGGGCCTCCAGTTATCCAACACAGGAGTTTTTTTTTTTTTTTTTTTTTAGAACTGAGACTCGGCATTATCTTGATCACTTAGAGGCCTCTTCTTCTCATCGTAGTACTCCTCATCCTCAGAGTCCTGAAAGAGACCACATTAAGGAACAGATTAATTCATTCTATATACAGACTAGGGCTGCAGCTAAGGATTATTTAGCAAATCAATTAATCTGTAAAATATTCTTTTGATTAATAATCAGATAGCAAAAGGACCCTTTAAGAATACTTTTTATGAAATTAAACTAGTTAAAACCAAAACTTTTCCATTTGAAGAGTTCTGGATAGAGCATATTTAAAGACAAAAATGCTTTTTTTAAATCTTAAATGCAAAATTTTAACATTTTTTTTAAATAATTTTGTAGGGATGCACGATATAGTCGCCCCCCTATCGGTATCGGCCTTAAAACTGAATATCAGACATCGGCCACCCCACCAATATTTAACCCGATATTTGATGAGCTTCTGAGTTTCTAAAGTCTAAAAAAAAACAGAAAAAAAAAAAAACTACTACTTCTTCTTCCTCAAAAACTTCACAATATCTTCATATGCTGATATATTGCCATTTAAAAACACCATATCAATCTCTTTTACAAATGAAATATTGCAATATGTCATCGCAATGCTACGAAATCCCCCGAAAATTCACGAAATTTTGCCATATTTTTATATGTTGATATATTGACGCGGTATCGATCTATTTTACTAACAAAATCTCACAAGAATTTCCAAATATCACGAGAGTTTGTAACAGAACGATGAAATTTCACGAGATTTTGAAAGTAAAATAGATCCATACCGCGTTTTTAAAAATCAATATTGATATCAGCATATGAAAATATATTTGAGTATATTATTTTTCAAAGTGTCAGAAGTGGATAATAAAACTGCTATTTTCAATGACTACTTATTTTTGTCCAGGTTTAACATCGGTATCGATATCGGTTATCGGCTACATGAGTGTTAAAATATCGGATATCGGCCAAAATCCCAATATCGTGCATCCCTATAATTTTGGTATGATTGCTGCTCTGATTGGGTTGCTGTGTCAGCTTAAGACATGTTTTAGACTCTAAGGGCCGGATCTATCAAAGGTTTACGTGTATAAAAACGTGAGCTATTTCACTGCGCACGCTAAAAAATGTACAAACTGATCTATCAACAGCATGCTAAAATGATTTGGTCTTTAAATCGTGCTAAATAGCGCCTCTTATCCATTTAGTACCTTTTCTGCAATGAATATGCAATATGGGGCGTTTACACGCAAAAGTGCGTCTTGTGGGAGGAGTACATGTAAATATATAAATTTAGCACTCGCAAAGCTATTTATCAAACCTAAAAACAATTTTGCTAACGGTATCTGACTCTATATTCAACACGTTTCAAAAGAAGGTGCAAATGGTCTGTATGCGTAATTGCGCACACATGGCAGCGGTTATTGTCGCAAGAAGGAGACATGGAAATGAAGCAAGGAGACGCAGAGAACGCAGTTTTTCACTCCGTGTGAATATATATGGAATGAACGAGGAAACGATCATCAAAACATGTCGTTTATCCAGCATTGACATTTTGGATCTGTTGGGGGAACTCCGAATGGATTTGGAGCCAGCCACAAGGAGGACCCACGCAATACCAGATATCACAAAACTCCTTGCAACATTGCACTTTTTTGCATCTGGGTCATTCCAGCGTACGGTTGCAGCGAGAGCTGGGATCTCCCAATCTCGTTTTTCAGAAGTGCTGTCTGACGGGGTCGGGGTTGTCCCCCTGCACCTGTGGAGCAACATGCCAATGCTGCGGGGATGCGTAATCTCATCCACAGTCACTTCTTGTGAGCCATTTGGTATGTGCATTTTTCTACAGGCCAATACAAAACACCTGTTTTTTTGTTGTTGTTTTTTTTTTTTTTTACTGCAGTGAAGTAGAAATTCAGCCACATACCACCTTATGGAATAAAGGTTGCCAAAGTTTTTTCTTTACATATCACTGTAAGATTTAAATTTCTTAATGCACTAGTTTGTAGAAACTACAAACTACTTTGCCGCAAACCACAAAACGCGCAAAACCATCATTTAAATAGGGCGTCTCTAACAGTTTTGCACCTGCCACCAGTTACGCAATCGCTCTTGTTAAATCACCCACAAACCATGGTTCAGCCCCTCGCGCAAAATTCCAGTTTGCGAGCGCAAATTACTGCACGCAAAATTGGATCTTGATAAATCCGGCCCTAAAAGTTAAGTTCTGCTTTTGCAACCTATTTTTTGACACAACTAGTCATTTCCCCGTTTGTTGGACTAACTGTTTATTCTCCACCTGTGCAAATAAAAAACAAATACTGCCTATCTCTTGTGTTTGGCTTGGTAGATCTCGGCATGCCATCAACTTCAAAAGTAGATCTTGGTTTAAAAAAGGTTGGGCACCCCTGTTTTAGCGTCTCTATATTCCATTTAACAATTAATCAATTACTGAATTAGTTGATTATTTCAATAATCGATTAATCAGATTAATTGTTTCAGTCAAAATACAGACACATATATATTATCAATATTTCACACTTCAAACTCTGTCAAACAACCAGGTTATGTAATATAAATTTCCTAAAAGGTAGACATAGCTGTATTTATAGTTTTTTTATTTTATTTATGACCTGAAATGTATGTTGTTAAAGTTGAAAACGTACCAGTAGATATAGGCTACAGCATGTGGCACTCCTCATGTCCGTCTGGTGGTAGGCATAATCATCTCTGATGGATAGAGGACACACAGCAGTGGTTAGTGGAAATTATCAGCAAACAGTAAGAGATGTCAACACCTCACATGATTCAACCTGATGTTTGCATCTGAATGATCCAGATTTATTACACATTCAAATGAATTTAAAGCTGATTTTTACCCAGAGCTGAGTTTTGTCATGGTTTCTGTCTTTCCTATCAATTTCATACTGAAGCAAAAAAAACGTGTAGCTTAGCAGTGCAAAAAAACAAGTTAAAGTAAATAATACACTCAGACAGCTTTTATCAAAAGTGAAAAATTCAAGCAATGACTATATAAATGTATAAAATGACAAAATATCTGTTTTTATGAGTCATCATCCCAGAGAAGAAACCAATGCATCAACGCCAAAGCTGTAATTCTTGGAGGGATTGCCTGTAAATGCGAGTCAGTCCCTGCAGACCGATGTGCTTGAAAGCCTTGCTGCTTAGTGCTTACCCGCTGGTCTGCAGCCATGAGTGCTGCATATGCTGGATGGTCTTTGCTGTTTACATCATGAACATGCATGTCTGATAATAGAAGTGAACCTGTTCCTGCTTATAAAGTCTGTATCGCTCACTTTGCAGCCCTGAATCTTGAACTCAGTGTTTAAATCTGCATTTATAAAGGTTTCAGTTCTCAAGTCAACTGAAGACAAGTGAATTATTAGCTCAAAAAAAGCCATCTATTATTCAAAAGTTATTAAATCGACAAATTAATGATGGAAAGCTGCTGCTCTGTGCTCTGACTAAATGATTAAGTAGAAAAGGAAAGTTTAACTTTTGAAGGAATGCAGCGTTCAGCAGAAGGGTTTAAATAGTACTTTAAAAGCTACCATTTTATGCTGGGAATCCATTCGGTCATGTGGTGACTCCTAACAGCACTTTTAGTACAGAACTGTGTGTTTTCTTGTGTTTTTTTTATTCCAAAATTAGCATTCCCTCCGGCTCGAGTCTGTGGCTTTAGATCCTGAAGATTAACTGGTTTTGTTTTGGGAAATGAGAAAACACTGCGCCTTGCTCAAAAGAGCTTTAGGGATGGAACGAACTATGAATTTTCAAAATTGGAATTTTCTGTGGTATTTAACAGGAATTTAGGGTAATTAACTGTAAACATTAATTTTGGAAGGTATATTTAAGACTAATATTGGATAGTGAGGCCATTTCCCGCTAACTATTTATTTAAACCACCCTTGTTTTCCAAGTAATTCCCATTGTTGGAGCTATTTATTCTTTATCCATTTGAATTGTGTTAATTTCCTAAACTTATATATTTTTTAGTATTATTTACAGACTTTATTTATAGGTTAATTGTTGAATTTTGTGCATTTATTTTTTGTTGTTTTATCATTTTTTTCTTTCTTTATTATGTAAAACAGGAAGAAATGTGGGCGGTCCACTTACTATAAATGTAGGAGCCTGGTAAGGACCAGCAGGCATTTGGGTTAGGGGCCTATGGGTTTTTACCAGTGCAAGATAGGTGACAGAGCATTGAATTCTGCAATTTGCAAAAATATAGGAAATAAATCAACTGAATATCTACAAGAATATCTGCGTCAAGAAAACGTGACCCCAGTGCCTATAGTGGCTTATTGGAACTTTATTGGATGTTTGGTTTGACAAACAATCGCCACTACACCCATCATTCCAATTGAATGTTTCTAACTTGATGTTCCGTGTATAGTTTATGCAAAGAACCCCAAGCTATCTGCACTTTATCCCAATTATCCATTTGACCAACTAATATGTGACAATGAGGTGACTGCAAACATCAAAAGGTGTATAATTCAAGTGTAGAAAACACACAATACTTCATCATAGCTAATGCAATAATTTCCAGATAAACAGGATTTTTTACTTCTGTTTTAAATAAAAAGATAATCAGATAATGATATTTTTTGGAAATCTTAGTTATTTTGATATCTTCAAATTGTGGTATTTCTAATCACTGAGGAAACCAGCGTATTCCACTTTAGACATAGAATGAAAAGCAAAGAGCATTGCTGCACATCAGGCAAAACAAAGATGAAGAAACCTGACAAAAAGAAGCAACTAAATCTCCAGGGTTCCTACAGCGTAAGGCAAGTTAAATTCAAGACTTTTTAATGCCACTTGAAATAAAATTTAAGACCAAATTCACAAGAAACAAGAAAAACCCGCTTGCGACAATTTAACCCAAAGGTTTATTATAACATAAACCGCTGCACTAATGTTTCAAATTTTGAAAAGCTTCCCATACAGGAAGAAAGCTAAAAACACACAAATGACAGATATATTTTAACAATTATTTAACTGAATTCACAAACTTTGTTTTAGCAGGGAACAAAACAAATCAGTTTTAAAGCCCCAACATAACCAGTGCTAAGTCTTTTTTGCAGCTATTTTTCTTTATATCTTTTTCTTAGTATGTTTGATTTGGTGATAAGTGGAGGCGTTGCAGAGACAAGGGTGGAACAAAACTGAGAAATACCGGCTGTTTCTCTGTAACTCGATTTTGATGCTTTGTGTTTCGCGCTTCGCATGCGACTCCACTCCCTTGATTCCCATCGTTCCGAGCTTGAATCGCTTCTTGCACAAAATCCACTGAGCCTCATGTATGTTCCCTGGTTTTAGCCATGGAGAAAACTCTTGGCTGGAGCGAATTTTGGTTACATTTACACTTGCTCATATTTTCCAGACAAAAAGTAAATGTTGCATCTCCCAAATGTCCCGGCCGCAACAACACTTTTATTGGTTCCGCTATCGGGACGGAACCAATAATGGCGAGCCATTATTATTATTTTTTTCTATAAAACTAACAAAAAAAAACAAAAAAATTGTCAGTTTTAATGTTTTATTTAGATTACAAAAATAAATCGTAATAAAAATAATCCTATTTATGATGTTTTAAAAATTAAGACCTACCAAAGACTGATTTAAGACATTTGAAAACCAATTAAGGCCTTAGTTTTATTTTGAAGAATTCAATGCCTTTTAAGACTTTTTAAGGACCCGCGGGAACCCTGATATACCTAACAGCCAAACTAATAATGACAAACTTAAACAATGGATAATTTAACATGCCATCAGTTGCATAGAATCCACATTCCTCAATAAAGGAGTTACAAACAAAAAGAGTATTTTTTTAAAATAAGGAAGTTATTGCCTTCCATTTTCAATTAAATTCAGTTTATATATATACACATCTATCCTAAGGCTATTTACAGAGACAACTTAATCAAATCATACAGATTTGACTGAGTTGTAGGTTTTCTAAGGAAACCCAGCTGGTTGCATCGAACCATTGGCTTTGCAGGATTCACTACTTCTTTAAACCACTTCGTAGATCAACAATCATAGACTCTGTTGATTCAAAGCACGTTCCTCCAAGAAGCATGACCTCCCTGAAGCCAAATCTTTAACATAAACCTCAGTTCTTGTTTAACCTTCATGGCATTAGCAATCCAGATGTAGCATCTATCCCCGTCAAAGGCTGACTCGACTATCATTATACCCAAGAGAGCTACATCAGTGATTGGTAGAATAATTTACTCACCCCTCTGTGACCTCTATGGGCGATCTGTAGGCCTTGGATTGGTTGCGCCGTTTCTTGGGACAGAACATCCGTCCAATCAGAAAGAAGGTGAGAAGGCCAGAGGGGATGAGGATGAAAGCGAGGAGGACGGCAACATCGGAGAAGCGGATGGTGTGTGCTGAGGAGAGCAAGAGTGTTAGGGGCTGTTAGGTCCATATTAACATGGTGTCAGAACCAGGTATGCAGGACATCACGGTAAGGATATAAAGTCATTACAACCCTCAAATACCCTAAAGAGAAATTAACCTCAGACAAAAGTTTTAATAAATTTACTATTCTAAAATAAACTATTATAAATGTGCAGAGTAATACTTTGCCTTGCAAAATTCATACTCATCACAAACTGCAAAATATTTTATTGGAATCTTATACTAAAGAAGAACAATGTAACTGTAAAGCTGAAGGAAATGAATATGTTGTTTTAAAAAACTACAAATTAAAATCTGAAAGGTGTGGCAGGCATTGGTATCCTGGACAGTGAGTTAAATAGTTTAGAAGCAGCTCTTCCTTTTGTTCTTAATGAATATGTATCAACTAGTTTGGCTAATCTGGATGATAATGTGTTCTTGTTTAGGAAAATAGCTCATATTGAGTCCGCTTGGAAGAAAACAGAAGTGATCTCTTAAAAGAAATATTAAATTTTGCCTTGTATTTGATCAGGACTTTAACTGAGCCATTAAACTTCTCACTCTGTTATAAGGGTCGTTATCCAGATGGAAGTTTAGCCTCCAAAACTGTCTTTTGCAGCATCTAGCAGATTTTCCTATTAAATGGCCCCATAGAGCTTTAACCCAGAGATGCTTCAGCGTACCTGCTGAAGTAAAACATCACCATAGTGTGATACTGTCACCATTACAGGTGCTGGTCATAAAATTAGAATATCATGAAAAAGTAGATTGATTTCAGTAATTCCATTTAAAAAGTGAAACTTGTATATTATATTCATACATTACATACAAACTCATATATTTCAGATGTTTATTTTGTTTAATTTTGATGATTACAAATGACAACAAATGAAAATCTCAAATTCATCATATCAGAAAATTAGAATATTACTGAAGACCAATAAAAACAAAGGATTTATAGAAATGTTGGCCAACTGAAAAGTATGAACATGAAAAGTATGAGCATGTACAGCACTCAGTATTTAGTTGGGCCTCCTTTGGCCTGTATTACTGCAGCAATGCGGCGTGGCATGGAGTCGATCAGTCTGTGGCACTGCTCAGGTGTTATGATAGCCCAGGTTGCTCTAATAGTGGCTTTTAGCTCTTCTGAATTGTTGGGTCTGGTGTATTGCATCTTCTTCTTCACAATACCCCATAGATTTTCTATGGGGTTAAGGTCAGGAGAGTTTGCTGGCCAATTAAGAACAGGGATACCATGGTCCTTCAACCAGGTACTGGTAGCTTTGGCACTGTGTGCAGGTGCCAAGTCCTGTTGGAAAATGAAATCTGCATCTCCAAAAAGTTGGTCAGCTGCAGGAAGCATGAAGTGCTCTAAAACTTCCTGGTATGTGGCTGCGTTGACCCTGGACCTCAGAAAACACAATGGACCAACACCAGCAGATGACATGGCACCCCAAACCATCACTGACTGTGGAAACTTTACACTGGACTTCAAGCAACGTGGATGAAGTGCCTCTCTTCTTTTCCTCCAGACTCTGGGACCTTGATTTCCAAAGGAAATGCAAAATTTACTTTCATCAGAGAACATGACTTTGGACCACTCACCAGCAGTCCAGTCCTGTTTCTATTTAGACGCTTCTGACGCTGTCTGTGGTTCAAGAGTGGCTTGACACAAGGAATGCGACAGCAGAAACCCATGTCTTTCATACGTCTGTGTGTGGTGGTTCTTGAAGCACTCACTCCAGCTGCAGTCCACTCTTTGTGAATCTCCCCCACATTTTTGAAGGGGTTTTGTTTCACAATCCTCTCCAGGGTGTGGTTATCTCTCTTGCTTGTACACTTTTTTCGACCACATCTTTTCCTTCCCTTCGCCTCTCTATTAATGTGCTTGGACACTGAGCTCTGTGAACAGCCAGCCTCTTTAGCGATGACCTTTTGTGTCTTGCCCTCCTTGTGCAAGGTGTCGATGGTCGTCTTTTGGACAACTGTCAAGTCAGCAGTCTTCCCCATGATTGTGTAGCCTATAGAACTAGACTGAAAGACCATTTAAAGGCTTTTGCAGGTGGTTTGAGTTAATTAGCTGATTAGAGTGTGGCACCAGGGGCCATCAATTTTGAACCTTTTCACAATATTCTAATTTTCTGATATGATGAATTTGAGATTTTCATTTGTTGTCATTTGTAATCATCAAAATTAAACAAAATAAACATCTGAAATATATGAGTTTGTATGTAATGTATGAATATAATATACAAGTTTCACTTTTTAAATGGAATTACTGAAATCAATCTACTTTTTCATGATATTCTAATTTTATGACCAGCACCTGTATGCAGCAAGGTTTTCCATTATGTCTTTTCCCACATATATTTTCTATTTAGACATATGGACATGTCTCCATTTACCTCTGGTTAACAAACAACAAATAAGCCTTTATTCTCTAACAGGGTTTATTTTTTCCATGTCATATTTTATTTTAAAGTACTATAAAAAAAAATGTCAAAAATGGTAAAAGGCATAGAACTTATAAGTTTTGTAATGCTAAACACTTGCTGTTAAGTCCAATGGCGTACAAGCCACAACCTGTTCAGTACAGTTTTGTAGCTATACCTTAAAGTAGTACTTATCCAAGCATACGTCAAACTTATAACTTAGCTGTATTTTTTTAATAATCACTACTTTATTAGATAAAAAACATAAATAAGTCTTAATAATAAAGGCTGCAGATTATATGCCAAGATCTTCTGGAAATTGCTTTCAGACTGGACGATATGACCAAAACATATATGACATATATTCTTATTTTTGGTTGACACCATTTAACAAAATAAAAGCTTCACAAAGACTGCCACAAAAGCCACTAACAGAATCCTGCACAAACATATTACAATTATTTTATTTTAAGTTTATAAAATTTCAAGAAAGCATCTCAGAAATATTTGCTTTAAACAAGAAAACACATAAAACTGCAAAACTCAGAATGTCAATCAGTAAAAAATTTTGTGATCCCAGCATGTAATGTAGATTAGAATATCAGAAATCCCATATCACTAGGGCTGGGTAAAACATCGATTTAATCGATTTTCGATCGATTCCTTTACATTTCTGCAAAAAAATGTCTAGGCAATGAGATTGATTAGTTTAATAGTGACGCGCGTGACGTTCACATTTAAATGAGCAGGAAGGATGCACTCAAGATTACTTCAAGCCAGACAGCTGCAAATATAGCCAATAGATTGACTGAAGGCTGACCAGCAAACACCCTGTAGTTGTTACAGACAACGCTGCAAATATGGTTTGTGCATTGAAGATAATGCAGCTCATGAATGTCTGCTCGCTCGAGTGAGGCTTCACTTTTTCACTTTTCACAAACAAGCTTGCCCTTTTGAGACATTCTTGTTCACATCTCAAGTTTAAACTGTCTGATTTACAAGTTTGCACTTCATGTTTAATATGACAGGAAAAAATAAAATAAATGAGTATTTTGAAACAAAGTTAAACCACTTTTTAATTACTGTAAAAACAGATCGAATCGAAATAAATCGATTTAGAACTGTATGAATCAAAATCGAATCGATTAAGGACTTTGGCGAAAACAGCCAGCCCTAGATATCACTATTGTAAAATAAAATTATATATGTTAATATTTAATTATTACCCACTGCTATAGTGGACATAAATACGTTTTAGCAGCGCTGCTGCTGCTGCTGAAACACATGACAGAGATCTTAACCGATAATCATAAAAGTCAACTTTCATCCACCTCTTATACCTGCAGACATTCTCACCTCAGTTATTAAACTCAGTTAGAAACCATGTTAAATTTGAAAATGTTTACATTATAACAGTGCTACACCAACTGTGTAAATATTTGCCTTAATCTCCTATCTGATGACGTATTTGACCTCTCAGCATGGGCGGTTCTAAACAGGGGCCAACGGGGGCCAGGGCCCCTGTAGATCAAGTCCTGGCCCCTGTTATGGCCGCTGTACTGAAGACATAATACTCAAAGAAATTCTAATGATGATATGCGCTGAAACAGACATGGTTACTGACAGATCCTTTGGATCTATTTTATTTTTTTCTTTACAAATTCTGTTGTATTAACTGCTTAAAAACATATCATAAGTGGTATTGAGATAGGATCCCAGTTTTCATCTGGTAAATGTTTTTTTCCAAAACAATTTAAAAAAAAAACTTTTTTATAATTTTAAAAGTTTTTCTTCAATTCTAAATTCAGATTTTATAGAAAACTGTAATTTCAACTTAAATTAAGTAAAAAAAAAAAAAGTAAAATTTAGGGGTGCACCGATTGCAGTTTTCTGGCCGATTTCCGATCACCGATCTTTAAAAAGTCTGACCTGCCGATTCCGATTTTTGGTTAATACCGATTTCATTTTTTTGCTATAACCAACACTGTGTTACAAGATCGCAATTCACTTTCAATGTTACAATCTTTTCTTGAAAAACATGCCCTTGAACATTAGCCTTGAACCATTATAAACTTGTTTTAACTGCCCATGAGGTAGAGCGTTGACATAGAAATTAATTAAATAATAAATATTAATTAAATAAAACAAACTTAAGACTACAACATTGGTCTTTTGATTTTTTACATTTCAAATAACAAAACTTCAACAAAAGATCAGAAAAAATATGGAATAGCAACTGATTTTAAGACACTCGCGGAGGTAAATAGATTGGTGGTTAAGATCGGTTTCATATGTAAATATCGGCCGATCGCCAATCACCCTAAATTAAGGAAATCGGGGCCGATCAATCGGTCGGCCAATTTATCGATGCACCCCTAGTAAAATTCCTAAATTCTGAATGTGTATATTGACCTATTAAGACATTTAGAATTTTAATGAAACCTAATTGAATATAAATTTTACTTCATGCAGCTATCTTTATTTATTTGAATCCCTTGGCCCGTTTTTTATTTCATGCTTTTCTGTGCCCACATGAAAACACGCTGGCCGCCTCCTGGCCCCCCTGGTACATTTGGTCTAGAACCGCCACTGCCTCTCAGCACGTACAGGTAAATGGGAACTTTATGACAAACAAAGTATAAAATAAATAAATGATCTGCAATGAATAAAATAATGTTGATTTGAGAGCTAAAACAACAAAAGGCAACAGGAGAGAGGTTTCTATCCCTATATAAAGACTTTCAATCATACCTTTTGGTGTAACTGTGAGAACAGTTTCAGAGTTCGGCCCGAAGACATCTGGAGGGTTTGTGACATCACATATGTACGTCCCATTATCATTCAAAGTGGCGTTGATCAGAGAGAGAGAGGCATCCCCACGTGCCGGGGCCCCCCTCCATTTGATACGGCCGGCAAACTGACCGCTCTCTTGGTAATATGCCCGAGAGGAGAAGTGGAAAAACTGCAATGGAAAAAAAAAAATTATATTTTTCTTGGGTTTTTTTTAAGCAGGAGCGTTGAAATAAAGTGAAACTTGAGCTAAGACTGAGCATGATCTTATTCAAGAGCTGTGGGGAAAAATGAGAGATTATTAATCTACTGTCAGAAAAATAACACCTGAAACCCTTTATAAACACAGTTTGTTTATTCACTGCAAATAACAGGAGGAATAGCAGCAGAATTTAACTTGTTAGGCGAAGCAGATGGTGGTGGGATATTGTTTTTCTGTGGAAATGTTCATAATGGAAGCTACAAAAATATGACTAAAACTCTCAAACAGCTACATGACTGTATGAGAATTCAGCAAATATCTAGAAAACAATATTTTACTCTAGGGGTGACATTTACCAAATACGTTTGTTTACAACTTCATCCATGAGTCACCACTCCATGATACCAAGACCTCTTCTAACGACATTCAGAGGATGAGAAAGGTGGACGTGTGGGTGGAGGGACCGACAGGAAAAGATGTCTTGGAATACAGAAGCAGTAATAAAGGTATGAATATAAATAGATTTAAATAACAAAGAGAGGTAATATGCAAAATTTATGTTTCCGAGTGTGATGGTCACATGGTCAGTAACCCCACACACAACCACTTTTTCATAAGTTTTAATACACACTAGCATAAATATATTGGTTTGTTTATTTTGACAATATTGAAGACATTAGTTCCAATTGTAGCGCGCACATTCGGTTAACTTTTGTATATTTAATTTTGTCAAATGCTTAATATACTTTGTGCTTTCTTTTCTGCTGTGGTGGGAGTGCCGTCAACTGGGAGAATGTGGCTGACATGATCATGGACTGATTGGGTGGTACCATGTGGAGTTCCACTATTGGGGGAAGACCATGGACTCAACATTTTAAATATGTTGCATAATTTCTTTTTCTTACTTTTGTGATTTGCTCATTTTGTTAATTTGTTTAATGATTGTTATTTAAGTTTAATCTTTAAGCTAACTGTTTAGTTATTTTTTGTTAAATTGGTGTAGATGTTCTCCCTACCTCTTCCTCAGTGTGTCAGTCTGGTCTGATCAGCCAGTATTTAAGTCCCCTTTGTGTGTCAGGTCAGTTTTTGTTTGTTCAGTTAGTTTGAGGTTTGAATTTGATATTTTTTTTGCCCTTAGTCTCTTCATTTGACCTCTTTTAAGGGGCCTGAAACCTTTGTTTGGATTATTGTTATTTTGGGGTAATAAAACCCAGTTTCTTGACAATCACCACTTTGTCCTCATGCTCGACTGGCTCGGTCCCTCACACCGAGTCAATGTATAAAAAAAAAAATTTTAAATCGGAATTTTGTTAAGGATTACAAACAGAAAGTAATTTGTTTCCATTTCACCTTCCTGAATTGCTTTGCTCCATTACTTCCTTTATTACTACTTGCATGCACCTGCCTACGGTCACATGGTCTTGTTAAGGAAATGACAGAGAAGCCTTAAGTTTACTAGCAACTTGAGTCAAACAAAGTGTAAGACACTGAAATGAATTATAATAAGCCAACAGGTTGCTATAGTTCAATCAGAGAGCAACCAGAGTGAGCTACTGGTAGAACTTTGTAGTCACGGTACGTGAATATAGGGCCTAAATCATTGAAAACGGATATAGGGATGAACAATTAAATCAATTTGAAATACAAAGAGAATTTTTACATTCCCTCCATCCATCTTTTGCCTTTCTCAAGCAGTCTTTGAGCGTATGGCGTATGCATCAGGGTTGGGCATCAAGAATCGATCAGAACCGCTTCTAACTTTTCAATTGTCCCGGAATCGTTTGAATGTTTTATTTTTGATTCTTAGTTTCGTTAACCAGTTTGCTGATCGGAAATAGAAGCTGCCCAATATGAGCGAAGATGAATCCACAGGAGAGTGTAAACAGCTCTGTGCTGCAGCATTTTTAAGGGAGGGTTAAAGTTAATTACGGAAACGATCAGTCGGCTACCTGTGACACATGCCATGGTGATATATTACGGGAAGGATGACGCACAGCTGACATAATCACTACCGGGAGTAGGAATGAGAGCCTGATCTTTGACCTCCTCCCTGAATTCTTAGCACGCCTTCTCTAAGGAGAACAGATACTTTTCATTTCTCCATACTTCCTTTCTCTTAATTTATATCTTAACAGATGGCCGCCATGTTTACACGTTCTGGATAGAATAAAAAGCACTTTGATCTGCAGAACCTATGAACTATTTTAAGCACTTCATTAATTGTTTATTTTCGATCATTTGGGATCCCTTTCGTATCATAAAGCCCATTAAATGAATGATGGTGTATAAAATCGTATCTTTCCTCTCTAATGTAATTAAAATATCACTACTTATGTCTAGTTGATTAGAGCTGAGGTGAATGAAAAAAGCTCAGGATATAAACTCTGTCAGGGTGCTTTCCTGCTGCGCTACTTTTTTCCTTTAGCTAAGACATTCAGCTTAGAACCACACCACAGTTGAATTCAGGTAAATAGAAAAAATAATATTGTCTTATAAAAATTATTAGTTATTAATTAATATTATTAATTAATATAAAGTACCTGCAGTATCAGAAACTTCCATGTGAAAATTTAACTGTGTGAAAAGAACATTCATGGTCGTTTTTCAGTTCATAAGAACACAAGTATGGACTCGTGTTCTCATAAATTACGTTCTTGACAAGAACATAGGAAAGTTTGGACCAGGGGAGAACGGGAGCTCGCAGAATAAATCTGGGTCAATTGCAAACGAGTCGTACCTGTGACATCACCACAGTCAAAGCTACTCTGGAGCTGCATTTCACCTCCTCTTAATAACAGTCTATAGATAATAAATAATTGTGTTTTTCCTTTATTGGGGGAATAATGATTAACACAATCAGATAAACAAAATTAAAATGAACGTATTGCAAAAAAAATAAAATCCCATCAGAGCCAGCGGTTATTCACACATGGCTATGCCGAGAGAGGGCTAATGCAGATTGGCTAACATTAGCCCTGGCTGCGCTTAGCCTGGAAAATTCCCTTGTAGCATCGGTCCTCTCAACATAGGAACTTTTGGGTTTTTTTTAATTACACACTAAATCCGTAAATGGGCATATATTTAAGCTTAAAAGTGTAATTTTCTCGCCTCAAGTGATCTTAAAACGTACTTTTGTAAAATGAGACGGCAACAGAAAAGATAACTTTTAACTTAATACTCTGAGCTCTGTGAGCGCGCCCTAGTAGCCGCTTCTGCTGCCGCAGTGCATGCTGGGACAGCTGTCACTCTGAAGAATGCACAAGTCTGCTCTGACGCATGCTTGATAAAGAGGGAGGAGAACAGCATCCATGATTTTGTACATTCTAAGTTGAGTGTTCTTGGCCGTTTCACAATATATGTACTTGTGCATACTCGTGCATTTGAAACGTCATCGTTTTCAGCCCCAACACTGTTCCAATTATGTATGTACAGTATGTATGTGACCTTTATTTATCCATTAGATCACTTTGGGATTTAAAAAAAAATAAACAATCCTTTTTCAAAAAAAACCTGACCAAACTGCAGACATACAGCTATATAAATGAATGAAAACAGAAGAAAAAATTAATCTGGGCCGCTCAGTGGCACAGTGGGTTCGATACCCGGCCCAGGGTCCTTCTGCATGGAGTTTGTATGTTCTCCCTGAGCATGCATGGGTTCTCTCTGGGTACTCCGGCTTCCTCCCGCAGTCCAAAAACATGACTGTTAGGTTAATTGGCTTCTCTAAATTGTCCTTAGGTGTGAGTGTGTGTGAATGATTGTTTGTCCTGTGTGTCTCTGTGTTCCCCTGCAATGGACTGACGACCTGTCCAGGGTGTACACCGCCTCTCGCCCATTGACTGCTGGAGATAGGCACCAGCACCCCTCGTGACCCCTATTGGAACAAGTGTGTAAGATAATGGATGGATGGATGGATGGATGGATGGATGGATGGATGGATGGATGGATGGATGGATGGATGGATGAAAAAATATCTGAAATATGATATGAATTAGTTTAAACAAAAACGTCTTTATAAAGAAGTAAGTTAAGTAAGTGACTGACAGCTTAAACTGTGCAAAGACACACCAAAGTGCAGTGCAGTCACCAATCAACCTAACAATCACTGTGGGAGGAAATCAGAGCACCCAAAGTGAACCTGTGCTTGTAGAAGGTAAAGCATGCAAACTCCATGCAAATCAACCTGAAGCCTGGATTCGAATACAGGAACTTTTCACTGCCCCCGCCTACGAGCAAAGAGTCAAGCTCACCACAATCTCTCGCCGAATCATTTCAATTTTAAAAGTCTTGATTTCCAAATCACAGAAACACTTGAATATTGTAAGATAAATATTAAATTCAGTGCTTTAGGTGGCACTTATATGCTTAAAGCTGGTTTGCAGCCATACAGAAAGCAAGACAGAGTCTCAGCTAGTGGGCAGATAATGCATTCCACCTAGAAGTGAACACTACTTCCACTCAAGAGTAAAGTCCCCAGACAATGGACTCTGGACATGAGAGCAATAAAAGACATAAAAAACTAAAACAATAAAACTACAAAGCCGAACATATGTGTTGTTGTTGTTTGTGGAGAAGAAAAAATGAAATCTTGATTTTGGGAAAAACTGCAGTGCACCAGCTTGAAAGCAGATCCACCCTGCTATTACCATTTTAGTTCTCTCACTGATGAACACCATGTTAATTCAGAAATAATGATACATTTCTTACTATTTTATATTAACAAACTTATAATATTTGGACAGGATGTTAAAAACAAATGTGTGTCTCTAACAGAAGCATCAAAAGGGATGTAAAATGATAAAAACAACCAGTAGTTCCTTTTCTAAATAACATATTCTAACACACTTTATGAGCCTTCTTGCATAAGTTTGATGAAATCAAGATCACAACAATTTTATTACCGTGTGGCATTTCGGGACTATATTTACATTCACAAGCATGCACACGACTGAGGAAAGTGTCAACAAGCGTAGCTGCGCAGGGCTTCCCAATAAAAAAAGCACATAATGCCATAAGCAAACAATGCACAATCACAGCAACCGATAAATGTTATGGTTTTACAACCGTGTGTGTTTGTATAATCTCTGCTTTCCAAGAGACTACTTGTAGGCTTGGACTGATAAAGCCAATCGTCCGTCGTGAATATGAATGGCAGAAAGCAGGGACGAGGCAGGAAACGGCTCAGTATGGAAGCAAAAGAGACCAAAGTACCAACCTTTATATATGCAGACACTGATAAGACTACTATAGTGTTTTCAACTGGGAACACCTGGAGATTTTACCATCATGCAAGACAGGTGTTTATAGCCTGGAGAGGCTTTCATAAGCCGAGATCAACAGACAAATACTCCAATGACCAGCATTTTTAACAAATATTTGATTGTTCATTCAGCCTTTCTGTCTCTTTGAGACAGAGGTAATTATGCAGGCCACTGAAGCACTGCAGCAATGCTGACTGACACTAAAGCTTTGGCAGCAAATTGATATTTTCTGACAGAGGTTTTCACATGCTTATTCATGGCCTTTTCCCTTTTTGATATACAGCAAGGGGCCTGCAGGCCAATAAACCAACTAAAGACGCTAATGAAATTGGGTGGAAAGTAATTGAGGGTTTAGCCAGAAAAATGTCAAACTTGTTGACGGTACCATCGGTCGGTCATATGAGGATTCAGCTGCAATACAGAGAAAAAAAACTTATAGAAAAAAAAACACGTGATTGTTGTGTTATTTTCTCTAACTCACTAACAGCTGTATGTTCTTATGTTCTTCTAAATCCTAAGTGGAGACGACTTGGTCTCCAATGACCCAGGGAACAGCACTCTATACTAGCAGAACCGCAATGCATTAGCCTCCATTTAACTCTGAGTGCTCCTATAGGAAATGGCAGCATATACTGTTGCAGCTACCACACTATAGAATCTCACAGTCCAAATGCAATTACAAGGAACCACACTTGATGGCTATCTCCAAGTACAATGGAGCTGCTTAGATTATGTGGTGCACTGGAGAGTGAATCTTCTCTTAAAGTGAGCAGGCTTAAAGGACTGAATGTAGTTATGGTTAGAGGTGTATGAATCTGAACTCATTTCAAACAAGACCACAATAGCATTGCAAAGGAAGTGGTTGGGCTGGGCTGACCGGCCAACATTTACCCTGGAGTTACACACACAGTGGAAAGAAATGTTAAAACCTGGACAAAACTTGACCATGAGACTAACAGAACAAATGCACAGCACAGAGATGTGTCTGCAAAAACAGGGTTTATACAGGAATGAGTAACACTAATTTAATTGTTTTTAATGTTCTTTTAATGCTATTAGAAATCATTTTAAGGCCGTCAACAAGTACTTTTATTTATTTAACCATTGCCCGATCGCCCGGGGCAAGTCGTTTTTATTGTCGGGAGAGTACAAATTGCATGATTTCATGAGGGCAATGATGGCAAAAAAAAAAATTTATTTATCACTCAAAATTACTTTAAAATCACTGCCATTCGCTGAAAATGAATTCTCTCCCCAAGAGCTGAATCACAAACATGTTTCATTAATATATATACACAACAATGAATATTAGGAACTATATTTATCAAACATTATACTGGGCAAGTAAAAATTGTTTCTGGGCAAATGAAATGTGAAAGGGCAAGTGGCTTTGAACCCAAGCCTACATTACCGTGTTAACCTGCTTTTCAATCCTTCCTGCACATTCTTTTCAAACTAAACTTTGGCTTTTTCAAATCCCGCGAGAATGTGTACAAAACAACAAAGATGGCGCCGGCAACACTTGTGGGTCGTTTTCAGCGAATGTCGGTGATTTTAAAGTAATTTTTAAGTGATAAATAGATCCCTAGGCCTTTAGGTTGTGCTAAAATGCTTCAAGTTGGTTTGTTGCCACACAGAAAAGTAAAACTAAACACTTTTTAACACCATGGTTACAATAAAGTCCTGTAACAATGGACCCTGGGCAAGCAAGGTTTAAAAAACTAAAAGCTTGGGATGAAACATCTTCAAACTTCGGGGGTAGTGCAGAAAAAAATTGAAATAAAACTGTAATTTTTGTAAAAAAAAAAAAAATTGTTCAGCTCTACTGGATATTATCCAGAGTCTTTAGCACAAGGATATTTTCATTATATTGTTACTTAAATTATGCTGTTAACATAAAGACACCTCCATGGTTTTATCTTCTGCCATGTTTGCACTTTCAACATGCACAACATTCACAATATCCTGGTATAAGACATGATGTTAGCAGTTTTTTTTCAGTATTAGACTTAACACAAGGACATTTCAAAGGAAATGCATACATGGATTGGGAGATACTCACCACCAGTGGTGGACCACCGGTCAGTGGTCTATAAGACCAGTGAACAGACATCTTACTGGTTGGTGGGCTTGTAGAGGTGAATGTGCACGGCAACATGACCGTATCCCCTTTAGATGCATGGACCTCTGCTGGAGTGGTTACGTGGATGCCGGAAACTTGGGAAAGGCCTGGAGATGAAATTATGCAAGATCACAATGATGACTTAGTTGGTCTGAATTCCACTTTTTGTTAAATAAAAAAGGTTAGTTCGATTCCCATTAAAGGCTTAAATATTCTACATTATGAGTGTAAAACTGCCTTCATATACATAACAGTATTTTCAACATGCAAATGTAACTGATTAACAGCAATTACCTTTAAAGCCTCTGCAATAAAAAATAATTTAAAAAAATCATTTGACAGCCCAACATCTAAACTTTTTATTTTAATGGAACCACATTAGCGGCCACACTTTCTCACCAGCAAGGATTGTCTTATTGCATTCGACAAGCTTGTTTAACATCTGCACATGAAAGGTCTTTGATATGAAGGGTGTCAAGCAAAAACTTTGCTTCTTGCTTGTTGCTACTATTAGGGCAAGAAAAGATGTGTTGTTTTGGGTCAGCCCACCTTTCCTTCTCCGCTCTCGCAGCATAAGATTTATGCTCTAAAATCGCAGAACTTGGTAAAAAAGAGAAGAAGCCTTTTATTTTGTTTTGGTTTTACTTCATAAAAGTTGCTTTTCAGAAGGCTGTAATTCCCACTCAGCTCATCTTGGAGTCTTGTTGATGCATGCATGTGGTGACTCCAACAACCTTATAGATCAGCAGGCAGGTTTTGATTTGCACCAGACTTGGAATGTGCTGGAGGATGGACCTCCATGTGGCTTAAAAACATCAGCACTTGATGATTGTAGTAGTACAAGTCGACAGAATTGACAAATACTCCTAAATAAATGTCGAAAAGTCTTCAAAAAAACTGAGAGAAAAGTCAGTTTGCTTCCAGTTTTAGACCGTTTTGTGCTCGCCATGACCCGATGAGTGAGACAGGCATTGTTGCAAATAAAGTTGAGAACCAGACACACTCAAAGAAACCTCACATCAGATGTTTTGTAGAGAAGGTTAGGAAACTTAAAGTCGGTAAACTTAATACGACTTTATGAAAATCCTGTTGAAACCAACTGTTTTTTCTCTCTCAAATTTTGTTGTAGCAACTCATTTAGCTTCATTACTAATTTTTGAGCTGCCATTTCTGATGAATATATTTGCATTTCCAAGTCATTCCATTGAAATAAGGAAGAGCAAATAGCCTGTAATAAATTAAGCCAATCTTAGATGGACACCAAAGGTTTTAATGGACTCCAGTTGTCATGATAAGAAAACCCAAGCCCAAAGAGAGGACATGTACGGAAGAGGATTAGTGCCACTGAAAAAAAAAAAGTTTTTTAATTTTTAATTAATTTTTAAATTTTATTTCAGTTTAATATGGAAAAAAAAAACAATTTTTCTCAGAATTCTGACTTTTTTCTCAGAATTCTCACAGTTAATCTCAGAATTCTGGCATTTTTCTCAGAATTCTGACATTTAATCTTAAAATTCTGACATTAAATCTTAAAATTCTGACATTTAATCTTAAAATTCTGACTTTAATCTCAGAATTCTGACTTTAATCTCAGAATTCTGACTTTTTTCTCAGAATTCTGACAGCTAACAAGCATGTTAGCATCAAGCCATAGCCATGTCTGTTTTAGAGACTAGCTCTCTTGTTTTAATGACCTTCTGCTCCTCCATTAATGAGAGGACCCGTTGGGCAGGTAAAAAGTTGCCTAATTCCATCATTTTCCACCAACCAAAATTCTGAGATTAAAGTCAGAATTCTGACCTTTTTTTTCCATAATAAACTGAAATTAAATTTAAAAATCAGTTCATTTTTTTTTTCCAGTGGCCCTAATTCTCTTCCGTAGATATGAGAGCTGTTGAGATGAATCAGATTTATCTACAAAGACCACAGGGTGAGCGAGTAAATAACACAAACAGAACGGTCTCCTCTTAAAAGATGAAATCAAGCAGAGGCCCATTTTAAGGGAAACACTGTAGACCTCAGCGACATGATGGACACGGATAATGTGGTAATTGGAGGTTTCACAGGAAGTCTGGCAGATCATTAGTTATCGTCACACTGACACCAACTGTCTGGGCATTTTGGGGTCTTGAAGGGATAAGAAAAACTAAAAAGAGAAGTCAAAAAAGATAGAGAGGGATCCTAATTAGAATTTTATACCGTCTATGATTTTTCCTGAAATACCTCACGGATAGGATTTATTTCATGATTAATGCATGTGCTTGTCAAACCCTAATAAAACCTGGCTATTATGTGCTAAAGCTAATAATTTCCTAAGCAGTTTATCTAATTAGAACAAGATTTGGAAATGAAATGGGAGTTTATGGACAAAGCAGATTATACTCAGAGAGCTCTCTCACTATGCATTTGGAGTGTTCTTGACCCAGAACACTGTATTATTTTTGATATAACTGGGGCCAGTGATCATCTCCTCATTTTACTAACGTGTATGATGTAGCAATGTGATGATGTGGCAGGCTCTGTGTATAAAATGCTTCTTTAACTGGAATTCTGGGCCGACTTTCTAAAGAAGTGAGCCCGGAGGTAAGCGCTGCCTTCTAATCTGAGCCATTGATCTAGTCTGAGTAAGATTACAATTTCTCTCAAAACCTGGTGTCATGTTTCAAAGAAATGTAATACACAAACCTTATAAAGTGTCATTTAAAGTGTTTTCTTCAAGTGATTTCTTCTCAGGAAAGAATAAGGGAGAAAAAGCTTAAAGATGTAAACTTGGAGCTTTCCTTTAACACAGTCTTGCATAAAGTAACAATCAGTACGGTTTAAATGGTGAATTTTGATACCTATATAGCACTTTTTCAGGTCAGGGTAATAGAAACCGCTTCACCCTACATAGAGTCAGTCACACACTGATGGGGACAAACCTCATGGAGGCCACAGCTAGCCTGGAGCTCACTGAAAGAATGGAGGCTGCCATGCACGTACGCTGCAGATCTATCTGACCACAATCATTTGGATGCTTTATATCAACTGGCAGTTCCTGATTCCAATCACCATTTGATTTTATAAACAGTAACTGCACAACCCCTGTGGCTGCAGTGTCTTGGAAAACATTCATACTCAAACTTTTGTTTATCAAACAAAAATATGCATTGGATGTGTATTCGGCCTCCTTTAACCCTCTTTCCTCTACAAGCCACTGGGATGGCCAAAACTACTCAACTAATCTACTAACCAATAAACTTTCTCAGCATCAAAAGACCAGGAAAGTTCAACACCCTGTCAGTGCCTCCCTGTCACGACTGAATGATGATCTGACCAACTGGCCTCCACCTTCACTCAGACTTTCAACAAGCTTTTATACCTCATGCTACAAATATTACATCACCCTCCCAGTCCCAAAGAAGGTCATCATTACAGAGTTAAATGACTGGTATGGAAGGATTAGAGAGACATCACATGTTCCATGTTGGACCAAAAGGAGTTTAATAACCAGGTAAGGTCAACAGATGAGCATTTGACCTGCGACTGCACTCCATCCTACATCTGGAACATCCAGGGATGAACAGCAGGATCCTGTTCGTCGACGTCAGCTCCGCCATCAACACAGACATCCTAAACCAGAATCTCCCCCAGTTCTCGTCCCACTGCTCTCTGTACAAAAATGGCTGTATCCAATTGGACTTGTAGGGAAATATCTAATACATGTATGTCCTGAGGACATGGTTTAAAAACCACTGTTGTAAGGGAGAGCAGCACGTCAAAACTAATTGAAAAGACTAATCAGTATATCTAAGCAACATTTATTATGAATATTGTGGAAATAATTACACATTATTGTAAAGAAGCAGCATAAAACAAGTCATCTACAGTGCATACAGTCAGGGGGGGATTTACCATTAGGCAATACTAGGCAGTTGCCTAGGGCCCCAAGTTCCTGGGAGCCCCATAAAACTCTGTTTACATGTATGGTTAATACCACTATTCCTTATTTGTACACATTAAGTTTTTGATAAAAATCCTTTCACTAAAATGCCATCAGGATGCTTATAATATTAAGTGTGTCTCAGCCCCCCTCAGTGTCCACCATATTGGATCAGTCCATTTGCAGCGCATGTTTAGAAAGGTCCAAACAGACAGCAGCAAACCATTTGAAAACAAACAATGCAAAGAGCAGTGTTGCCAACTTAGCGCCTTTGTTGCTATATTTAGTGACTTTTCAGACCCCTCTAGTACTTTTATTTCTAAAAAGTGCCTAGCGCCAAATCAAGTGACTTTTTTCTACTGGAGACTTTGGTGACAACATATAAAAGCAGCGAACTCTGCTCTCCAGAGCAAGTAGATTGGTAACCCCGCCTCCTGCTCTCCTCCATCTTGTCTTCTGTCATGATTCATGCAGCTATTATTTCATCCAAATGAAAAATGGAGAATAGAGAAGCAGATCATGGCTTGTCTACAGCGAAAAGAAGGACCAGGTTATTTACTTTTGCAGTCACCTTTTTGGAAACACAGGAAGGAGCATCAGCTAAGTGAGCTTAGTGCTTGGAAAAAAACACTTTCCTTTTGAGAAAGCATGAAAAGTCAGCTGAGTACAAAACATTGAGAGGAAAACAACAAGAAAAGGGACAAGAAGAGAGGGACAAAACCTAGAACAAATAAGGTATGTCTAGGATGACCAGAAGTCTTCTTTTATCCGGACATGTCCTTCTTTTCAGACCATTTTGGTCGACTACAGTGCAAACACATAGTCGAAACAGGGAGCCAGCGGGGGACTGAGGTACCGAACCTGACCCTGAAACAGTCCTCCTTTTCAGAAACCCAAATCTCGTCACCCTAAATATGTCTATTCTATTAAAATTTCTCTATCTGTATAATGGGTCTTTTTTTATGTGTCATCTTCTCAATCCAGAGGGCCCCCTGCCTGTCTTTCCCTAGGGTCCCTAATTTCCTAAACCCACCCCTGCATACAGTAGCAATCAGACCTATAACTCAGTGACTGTTAAATTATTTCATATCTCCTAACATTAAAGGGTATTTATTTAATCAAAAGGCTTCTCCAAGAAATAGATCAGTTCAGCATTTGAAAACATTATCCAGCTTTATGTAGAGACGCCAAAGTTTGGCCTATAAAGGAGAATATATATAATACTACACACTAATAAAACTCACTATAACGCTTTTTTCCCCACCAGTTATATTTAAATACGTGTTTAATGTTCCATTTTATCCAACAAATCGTGTAAGTAAAGCGCCCCCTTCCCGGACACTTTGAAATGTTCTTTTTAAAGACAAACTTATGATGTTTTATGGTTACTTGGTTCAAACAGGCAGCTTTAAATGTAAAAAAAAAAAAAAAAAACGCCTCCTGAATTATAGGTATGAACGCGATACCAAAAGCAACTAATGTCCTCTAAGGCGGCTAACTCTTTGAGTTTAGGTAGAAAGGTAGAAACAGCTCGCCTTTCGGCTGTTGAAATATTTACTGCGACATGGCAGCCGAACGGACCGAGGCCCAGTTTACTCACCGAAACAGCCGAACAAATAGAGCAACAGCACTACATTCAGGGCCGTTTGTCCTGCGACCATTCGACACATTATTGGTATGAAAGGAGGGTCCCTTTCCGTGACGATTTAAAAAAAAATAATCCTCAAAGTTGCGTCAAAAGTTGAGTAAAATTCCGCCCATGAGTCAGTTTGGTCCCCGCCTGTCTACCTGTCGGACAGGTGGATCAGGAAGTGGAGCTTCAACTCGGAGAGAGGAGGCAGTCAACTCGAAACTACTTTAACAACGAGGAAAAAACTTATGGTGGTAGTCAGATTCTAGGTTTAACACAAAAGTTAGTGTTTTAGAAGGAAGATGGAAATAGTCACATAAAACTGGAATTACTGTGGTTTGGTTAAGTTTACTCAAAGTTCAAGTTTACTCAAAGTTCTTTTTAAAGGGAAACAAAGTCACCTGTGTTTTTAAATCATCTTTTTAAATCAGCATAGCAGAATATATTATTTTTTCGAGCTGCTATAAAGCATTTTCTACGGAAGAGGATTATGGCCCCTGAAAAAAAAGTTAACTGATTATTTCAGTTTAATATGGGGAAAAAGTCATAATTCTGACTTTAATCTCCGAATTATGACTTTTTTCAGGAATTCTGACTTTTTTTCCCTCAGAATTCTGACTTTAATCCCAGAATTCTGACTTTAATCTCAAAATTCTGAAATTTTTTCTAAGAATTCTGACTTTTTTTTCTGGAAATTCTGACTTTTTTCTCAGAAGTCTGACTTTAATCCCATAATTCTGACTTTAATCCCAGAATTCTGACATTAATCTCAAAATTCTGTAATTTTTTCTAAGAATTCTGATTTTTTTTCTTCTTGAAATTCTGACTTTTTTCTCAGAAGTCTGACTTTAATCCCAGAATTCTGACTTTAATCCCAGAATTCTGACTTTAATCTCAGAATTCTGAATTTTTTCTCAGGATTCCGACTTTAATCTCAGAATTCTGAATTTTTTTATTAAGAATTGTGACTTTTTTTCCACAGAAGTCTGACTTTAATCCCAGAATTCTGACTTTAATCTCAGAATTATGACTTTTTTCAGGAATTCTGACTTTAATCCCAGAATTCTGACATTAATCTCAAAATTCTGAATTTTTTTCTTGAAATTCTGACTTTTTTCTCAGAATTCCGACTTTAATCCCAGAATTCCGACTTTAATCCCAGAATTCTGACTTTAATCTCAGAATTCTAAATTTTTTTTCTCAGGATTCTGACTTTAATCTCAGAATTCTGAATTTTTTATTAAGAATTGTGACTTTTTTTCCACAGAAGTCTGACTTTAATCCCAGAATTCTGACTTTAATCTCAGAATTATGACTTTTTTCAGGAATTCTGACTTTAATCCCAGAATTCTGGCATTAATCTCAAAATTCTGAATTTTTTTCTTGAAATTCTGACTTTTTTCTCAGAAGTCTGACTTTAATCCCATAATTCTGACTTTAATCTCAGATTTCTGAATATTTTCCCAGAATTCTGATTTTTTTTTTCTTGAAATTCTGACTTTTTTTCTCAGAAGTCTAACTTTAATCCCAGAATTCTGACTTTAATCTCAGAATTCTGAATTTTTTCTCAGGATTCTGACTTTAATCTCAGAATTCTGAATTTTTTATTAAGAATTGTGACTTTTTTTCCACAGAAGTCTGACTTTAATATCAGAATTCTGAATTTTTTCTCAGGATTCTGACTTTAATCTCAGAATTCTGAATTTTTTTATTAAGAATTGTGACTTTTTTTCCACAGAAGTCTGACTTTAATCCCAGAATTCTGACTTTAATCTCAGAATTGTAACTTTTTTCACAGAACTGTGACTTTCCCCCCCCCCCAGAATGCTGACTTTAATCTTATAATTTTATATATGTGGAATCTCCCAAAACATCAAATGTACAATTCACAGAGACATTACTTTTCCATCAGTGCATACGCCTTGTATTGTTTCTGCAAACCTTTGCTACGTCTTGCCATGTCAAAATAAGAAAGCATTTCACTGGAATTTTATGTAATTTTTTCAAACTTAGATAAGGTTTTGTATAAATATAAAATGCGTAAAATACGGAAGAGGATTAGGTCCACTGAAAAAATAAAAAAGTTAACCGATTTGTAATTTTTATTTCTGTTTAATATGGGAAAAAAGTCAGAAGTCTGATTTTTTTTTCTCAGAATTCTGACTTTTTTTCTCAGAATTCTGACTTTAATCTCAGAATTTTGGATCTTAATGTAGATGGGCACCATGAAGGAAGAGATGTGGGAGCACTCAGCTTCACTATCAAAGTTGTGAGTTTTCTGGGAGGGCCAGTAACACATTGGTGGAAAATGATGGAATTAGATGACCTTTTATGTGCCGATCGGTCCCCAGTGATGTTATCTCACTAATGGAAGAGCAGAAGGTGATTGAAAGAGGAGAGCTAGTCTAGTCTCTAAAACAGACTACGGCTATGGCATGTTGCTAACATGTGTGTTAGCTGTCAGAATTCAGTCAGAATTCTGAGATTAAAGTCAGAATTCTGAGATTATTCTGAAGAAAAAGTCAGAATTCTGTGGTGTTTCTTTTTCTTTCTGTAGTTTCTTGTTTTTACTATGTAAAGTTAACAAAGATTGCACTCATGAGAATACAGAGTGGGATAAAGGTGACATCCACCAGGAGCATGAACAAATAAAAGCAATTGTAATGGCATAAAAGGGGGAGAAAGATATCAGTAAATCTAAACAAATGTTTAAACGTATGTTTAAAATAAATATATCTGCAAATCTCGTATATTTAACAATAAAAAATACTTTGTCACTTAATTATTAATATAATCTGCAATTAATTTGGTAGTTTATTCATAATTAACTGGAGCAGTAAATATACCAAAATTGTAAAAAAAAATATTCAGAACTGCTAAAGTTGCATAGTTTTAGTTTCACTGGGTTTGAATTTTGTATAAAATCTTTTTTGGGGAATCTTTACTATCTAATTATTGACTGAATAATTAAAAATCAACAAATTAAATGATTATCCTTACATATTCTAGTTATTCAATGCTACTATTTTGATGTGAATAAATCATTAAAACTGTGTTTTAAATTTCGGTTTATGGTAATAAAGTAGCAACCATATGACAAATTATTTAAGACATTCACTTGACAGTATCACTGCTGCCCCCCTCTGGTTTAGAGGAGAACTGCTTTTCCAGAGGGGGTGGATTACGTCCACAATGCTTGGGCATGGCCACCCCTTGCCACTTATCTATCTCTGCCCCTGCATCTGGGTGTTATCTTGCATTTGGGTTTTAATTCTCACGTATGTCTCTTCATCATTTAAGCCAGTTTGGCGGTCTGGCTTTTAAAAACAGTTGGCTTGATGCAAATATACCGCACAGATAGACATTGTCCACAATTACACTAAAATAATACAAAAGTTCAGCATCATTACAGTTTCTACTAAAATAAAAGATGAAATCTGAACTATTTGTCCGTCTCATCATCATTTATGGTTAAGAACAAGGTATTTTATGTCATTATTTCCCATATTTATTCAATTTGGTCACTTGATCTCTAGACGATGTTAATGTATGACACCAACAGGGGCGGATCTATAGGTGGGCTATGAGGGCCAACTGCATCTCCTGCTGTAGAGCCATGCCCCTCAGCTGCTCTCCCTACTTTTATATTATTAAAATTGTTGTGATCAGTAATCCTTTGTTTGTCCAAAGTGCCGTTGCAGCTTTCAAGTTAAACATTAATATTCAAAAACGAAATAATAGATAGTAATGCATATAATATATATAAAAAATAGCTATGTTATATATATATTTGTTAAAATAAAATATTTTCTGCAGACAGACCAAGATTAATAAATGGAACTGCTTTTATGACCTTTGTAAATGTTGGTCTTGGTATCATTTTTTTTTTAAATATTCTATTAAATTTTATCCATCCATCTTCTGTCACGCTTATCCCAAGTGGGGTCGCGAGGGGTGCTTAGCCTATCTCCAGCCGTTTAAGGGAGAGAGGCGGCGTCCACCCTGGACAGGTCGCAAGTCCATTGCAGGGCAACACAGAGACAAACAGAACAAAAACCATTTGCACTCACACTCGAGGAGAATTTAGAGAACCCAGTTAACCTAACAGTCATGTTTTTGGATTGTGGCAGGAAGCCGGAGTACCCGGAGAGAACCCACGCATGCTCAGGGAGAACATGCAACTCCATGCAGAAAGACCCCAGGCTGGGAATTGAACCCAAGGCCTTTTGCTGCGAGGTGGCAGTGCTACCCACTGTTCCACTGAGCAGCATTAACACTTTATCATTCTATTAAATTAATATTTAAAAACAAATTGTTTCTAGTTTTTCTGACAAAAATATGAGCGATGAGATTGAGATTTGGGAAAGAATGATAGAGAGACCATGAGGGTCACTGGTGATTAAGAATGCTGAATGTTAAACAGGTTTAGAAATGAGTGAGGATGGGAAACATAATGACGAAGTGGTGAAAATAACAGGATTTCAGAATGAGAGAGGGAAAAAGAAGTTAATGCAGAGGAAACTAATGAAGAGAAGGAAGGCAAAAAGTCAAGAAATATAGCAAATAAAACTGGACCACCTGGTATGTATTTATTCTCGGTATAAACCTAATGCAGAGATGTCAGATTTGAATCTTTGTGAGATGTTTTGCTTACCAGCACAGCCATTGCCATCCTTAGAGTAAAGGAGGAAATCAGGGATCCATCACTGGCACCCTGTATAAACATTGGATCCTACTTATGTGAAATGTTCTTGATTAGCCAGAGCTGGTCTAAGGTTAAGTTGCAGGCAAAAAAATTAATTGTGAAAACATTTTTTAATTCACAAACTCCCGAAAAAGCCAACATATGTGTCGATACAGAAATGTTTTGGACCAATGAAATGCAGTGACGTGTACGACGCCAACCAGAGGCCGAAGGATTAAGCACAACTTACATTGCTGCGCTGGTTTCAGCTGGAATACCGCCTATTTCTTTTTGAAAAACAAGAAAAAGTACACAATATTTGCTATTGAATGGGAAGATGTTTGTGTGTTCCTGCCGACAAGATATGCAAAGAATTTGATTTATCAGTAAAAATTCACAAAGTAACATAAAAGTAATACTTGAAGTTCAGAACTTGCTACCTTTGTCTGAAAATAAACATTACATATAAAGCAAGCAGAGCAGATTAAAACA